TCGCCGCTCCGCTGCTCCTCTGCCCGCCGCGCTCCCGGCCCTGCCCCGCCGCTCCGCATCCGCCACGGCAGCCAGAGGGGCAGAGGTGCCGTGGCCGAAGGGAGAGCGCACGGAAAGCAGTACCCCAGCAGGCTCTGAGCCACCGTGTGAAGAAGTCACTCCCTGGATAAAAATGTAATTAAAGAAAAAAGAAAAGTCAGAGAGCGGCTGTCTGCTCAGTTATGCTCTAACAAACAAGCAATTAATAGATATAGCCGGTAATTAGTAAGCGCTCATTCCTGCTGTAAATGGTGCTCAGCGGGAGAGAAAAGCAGTCGCCAACACCAGGTGGAGAGACAGGGCAGCCTCACCCCAGAGACCAGCAGCTCTGCCTCCAGGAGGCAAAGCAGGCGGGTTTCCCACTGCACGCTATTCCCTCGCTGTCGAGATGTTGCCAGAATAAAACTGCTTTGATTGGTTTGGGGCTTTTTCCCCCTCTTTTTCTTCTTCTTTTTTTCCCCTTTATATCTTTTTCCCCCCTATTATTATTATGATTATTATTATCATTATCGTTATTATTGTTATATTACTATTATTGTTACTATTATTATTCGTATAGCTGAGCTAAGCAAACATTTGCCAATAAACTGTGGGCTTCACGCTCTGAGATGTCCCTTCCAAAGATGACTCCATGGAGTGGGGCACTTAAGAAAGCACCTGATGTGAGCAAGTGTGTTGGGTTTTTTTCATCCAGAAAACCCCACCTGAGAAGGGTGTAATCATTCCCGCAGGGGGTGGTGGCAACATTAATAAAGGACATACAGGTAGAAGGAGGCAGCCAGCACTAGGAGGACAAGCAGAGCAACCTTTTTGCCAGAGCATGAAGAGAAGCAGGAGCTGGAGATGATGACACCAAGTCAAATTGTCTGTGTCTGCATGAACCAGGTTGAAAGCAACACGAGGAAACAAGATGAAGACAAGTTTGCAGATCCAGGAAACTTCACAGTGATTAAAAAACATGAAGACATGAGTCTTGTTTTTTCTTCTCATAATTTCGAAATAAGGATATTTATGGGGCGTATTATAGCCTTTCCATGATCTTTCTTTTCTGGAATTCTTATTAGATTGTGGAATACTGCCTTAGAGTTTGAATGAGTATGAGTTAAGTATCTGGATAGTGAGTCTGAAAAAATATAAATCCCAAAACTATGTGCTTCACCCCCTTTTTTATGTTAACATTCAATGCACGTGCTCATGTTTCACTGCCACAAATATTTATGAAAAATTAATTTCAAAGTAAATTGCTAAAGTATGTGAAATAACCCAGCTTTCTCTTAACAAATAAAAGCATTTGTGCCAAAAGTAGGGAACAGTAAAAAACCACGAAGTGAGACTGTTTATGAGCAGTCCATTGAATTGAAGGGAAAAATAATTGGATAATAAATAATTAGAAAGAGCTGTCATCTGTCCATGGATATTCTGAGGGGAAAAAAATACTGCCAAGTCTCAAGTATATAACTGCATTTGCTAAATAAGCTAATTATTAATTATCGGTTGAGGCCTAATAAATCATAGCATTTGTAACTATGGTGTTTCTGATGGGCAACAGCAAGCCAGCACTCCCATGCACACTTGCTAGGCAACCTACTTGTCATAAGAAAACCATACCCTGTAGTGATTCTACTTGTCAAAAAGCAAAGATGAGGAATGCCTGTCTTCTCCCCAGGCTGTTTCTGCAGAAGGTATTTGTCCCATCTTTCCATCTGGGAGACAGTGTCTCAGGGCCCTTCTCAAGACCCCACTTGTCAAATGAGTCCTATCTCTTTGAAATATTTATACATACTACATCACCTATATTTCACAGCTAGGTTAAGAGGTAGGCAGTGTCTGGAACAGATGTTTGTGTTCAAAGTGAGCAAATCAAATATAGCACAATATCACCAGGCAAGAGATGACTGAAGAACTGTGTGAGGCCAAGGTCCAGTTGCAAGAACATTAATTCTCTTTTGTCTCAGTGTTTTCATGCTATACTCTGGTGCAGTCTGTCATTTATTTCTTTCCTGGGATGATGCAGCTATTTGTAGGCTCAAGTGAGCCCTTAAGCTTGTGGCCTGACATTTCTGTCACCTCTTTCCTGCTCATTTTATTCTCAGCACCACATCCAAGAATAGCTGAAGTTTGATCACTTCCTCTCCTCCATACCTGTGTATGGAAGCACAGTGCAGCTGGAAGCTTTCCTGCAGTGTTTCCCCTTGCTATGCCTTACTAAAAGGGAGTAGAAATACAAAGCAGGGAAAAGGAACACAACAGGGCAATGGGCAAAGCCAGAGTGACTCCAAATGCTGCAGGAGAGGTGAGAAGAGGAAAGCCAGAGGACTCTGTAGCACTGCAGCAGGGATGTTAGCAGGGAGGTGGGAAAACAAGGGAATTCTAACTGCAGCACAGGCCTGCATCGAGGAGCAGAGCACGCAGGGTAGCTCCTGGGATGCTGCTGTGCCAGGCTGAGCTGGGGCAGGCTCTGCCAGAACACAGCACAGGGGCAATGGTCCAACCCAGGCAGTAAGATAGTGCAGCAAGAGAGCTGAAGAGGGGGACTGGGAAAGGCAGGGGGAACCAGCATGTGGGGAGAAGGAGCCCTGTTGGACTGCTGTGAACAAACAAGGGGCAACAGCACCAAATACTTTGCAAAACACAAACTACTGGAAAGTAGGAAAGCATGGGCTAACCTATAATGACAGGATGAAGTCAAACTGTCCAGTGTGTGTTTTTG